TAAACATACAGTATATGGCTGGTCTCGGTACTTTAAAGAAAACATACACACCAGTATTACATTTCTCCCTAAACATTTTAAGCATTGAAGTCTTTAACTAACGTGATACCGGAGTCAACAAGCATACTTTTTAGAATTTGATTAAAAGGGAATATAATATGGAATCGCATATCTTAAAGAAATTAATAACGATATAATTATATTCATATATGACTCAAAGCCCTGTTAATCTCCTACAGTAACATGTAGAATTTAATCTTATCTGGGTGATATCTCTTTAACTGTGATCCAAATGATGAGTGATTACACTTCGGTATCTTAACTCTCTTGCTTTTATTAGCTTCGTATTTGTTTGTTCTGAGTCCTGAGCTGCTGTTATCCCAATATCATCTGAAACAGATTTAATCTTCACCCAATTACTTTGAGGGGATGTTAGTTATGGAAAGCATAACTAAAAATGCCTTAAAAAAATAAAAATTTACTGAACATTGATCTACTTTATTAAGTGAATTTTAGAATATTATATAAACAAAATGTGAGGAAGGGAACTGTTGAACAATTTTCAAATAAAATATACAGTAAATGAATAAAAAAAGCTGTTTTCAGTCACAAGATAATTTTATGACTGACAAATCGGTGAAGAGAGTAGACTGTCATGAACAGTAGCTCAAGGATTAAGTTCAGCTGTTCTAAACGAAAGCACCACAGGGAGCAGTTCGAAAACCCTCATTAAAGTAATAACAGCAGTTAAGTTGATATTTAATAGTAAGATACAAAGAGTTTAACAACTAAAGATGAAAATTCATAAAAGACAATAATAGAGAGAAAAGGGTTTTATAATTGTTTGCAGTACCTACTGTGATGTCCAGATGGCAGCTAATCTCTCTATCTGTATCTCTTTTCTAGTATTCTTATGTTGTTATTTCACTCTGCGTGTAGTTCTCTGCTCTTCTGATCTGTGGTCTCCTTTGGTATAGCACCAGCTGTCTGTAAAATTGATCTCATAATAGCAACACATATCAGAATTGAAAATATAATTATCTTAAATCTTCAAGATTAATATATCTTCTTGGTTTGATGTTTAACATGGCACTTTCATTATGGAGGATAATTTTATTTAAAAGTGACATGATTTTGATCACAGGGTTACTGAGTTGAAAGTCTAAAGACTAATCTTTCTTTGTGTTCTTTAAACAACAATATAGATGGGCTGCAAAATGAAAGCAAAAGAGACGTGTGTCACTCAATTTTTAAACTCTTGCCCTTGTTAATTGTATGTAAACACTAATTTAACAATTAATTTAAAGTTTGAAAGTATACGTGCAATAAATGCTATACATTTCAATACTCATTGTACCATTTATTATCCTTACTCAGTATATTTTAGGGTTATGTTTAACTTAGTACTAGGTGATGTGCAACTAGCGCTACTAAAATATGGGCTTTTGTAGACTCTTTGGTATCCATCTGCACTGAATAAACATATTTGGCAACATTATATGCCAGCGATGTATAAATCAGAAAGGTCTCATGTAAACTGATATCATCTCCCCCTCACATGCTCCCAATTCACAACACAACTGGAAAAGAAAAAAAAAAGTTCTGTTATCCATCCCTCCAGGGAAGGCAAACAAGAAGATTAAAAGTGGCAAGGCTACTTTGAAAGAAATTTTGAATATTCCTCCCTTAAAATGTGTTTTATACTGTAGATTTTCAATTTAAATAGAGATTCCTTCTGAAAATGTGGTAATTAGAGATAAGCTACCCTAAATTATCCCTGCTGTAATTTTGTGTACTTTTCAACCAACCTTTCAACAGTGAGGGCTATACCTGGTGTTGGATGTTGAAACTAAATGAATGGCAATAACAGCAAAGAGAGTGACACCAATGTCTTTCATTACCTCAGCTTTGAGAACAAGTATTACCGTTCCATAATAATAATAATAATATCTTGCATTTCTATTGCATTTGTCATCCCAACAGATCCCAAATCATTTACATAGAAAGGGACACAATACATTACATAGGAATAGACCCACTTCATCCTCAACTGTAGCCTCCATCTACTGTGGGTGATGTGCAGCTGCCCTTATGGTCCACCAGCCTCAATATCCAGCAGATCAGGTAGAGAAGTGAAAAATCACCAATTAAGGGGACAACAGCAACTTGATCTTCCAGGACTGACTAGGAACAGCCTTAGCTTCTGAGTGCTCAAGAACTGCCAGCAAGATGGTAATGGTGCTATCAAAACATTTCTACTAACACATGTAATTAATATCTGTTGTTTTATTTAAACGGCGTCCCTTTAATGTTGTCAGTTGTCTATTATGCATACCTTAATTGTAACTTATAGTAGAATGCTAGCACGAATTTTATGTTTTTTTTATTAAAATCTATCGTCTATTTAACCTTATTTTATTGTTGTTACTGTATGCTACCGTTTAGTTTTGTTTGTGTATTTAGAGTATAAGCAATGTAAGTGAAGGAATGAAAGCGTTTCTATTATTATATCTATTCCCTGACTTCAAACACCGCCCCTGCCTCTGATTAAACTGAACTGGAAAAAATAGGAGGGGTGTGTCTGACAATCAGAAACTGGAATTGCCGCTACCATGTGCACGTACAGTATGATACGGTTATAGGAATTACATTTGTATTAAAAACTGAATAACCAAATTAATATAACACGTGTACACTACAAGGATTTAAAAACGTGTCGAGCTGCTATTGATCAGACAAACTGTAGGAGAGCTGCCTAGTGGAATTCAGATCTGGCACAAACTGGATTAATTTCCAGTCTCCAGGCAGTGCTTTACAAACCAAATACAAGTAAAATCTTAGAATCCCGTGTTTTATAATGGTAAATCTCAGTCTAACGATATAAACCCTAAGCATCTCTAATCGCGAATTAAACAGATCCTGTTTTTACAATATTTTAAATGTACTGTTATTAATAAAACTAAAGTTGTCAGGTGACAACGAGTCTATTTTAATCCATTAACTCTCTGTGTAAACATCATAGATAAATCTTGAAATCTGTAAATTATACGTTCATTTATAAAGGCTACCTCTGGTGTCCCCTGGTGGCCCGTTTTTTTCCCCCAATATTCTTTCGATAATATGAAATCAACCAAAAAGGTGAAAATAAAATAGAACTAATTGCTTTTTTATTCTCTATAAAACTAAAATCATTCCAAAAAACAATATAAGCGAAACTAAAATAATTAGTAGCCCACCGAAAAAAATGATCTGGTTGTAGAAAGTACACAAGCACATATTTGAGCATATTTGAGATGAAATTTTAAAATCCGGTTTTAATTGCAGTTTTCACTCAGAACGAAAAATGGCACTTGATTCTTGTTACGGTCATGCCTTTTCCCATATTCATTTTTTAAATTCTTGGTATAACATAATTCATGAAATATGAATGTGCATTCATTTATTGTTTCCGAGCTAGGAGATATATGCTGTGCTAACTACACTGTCTCTTATTTTAAGAAAACAACGACCTCTAGCTACCTGTATTCAGGTTCTTCACAATAGCGGGTGAACGGCGGTGACAAAATCACTAATACTGTACATAAGACCAAACCGCGGTGTGCTTTGCCTTTCATTGGAGGAGCTCCGGTGGATAACTTAAGTTTTCCTCTTGTTTACTACGACTCTTGGCCTTTTGTGGCTGACGCAGTAAAGAATTAGTCAGATGACTTCGCGTGTGTAAGATTTTTTCGGCTTTTTTTGTGTAATTCCCCGTTTTAATTTTAGGTGAAACTGAAAAGTGTGCGCTGTGTGGCCGTTCCCAGCAATGGGTAGCGCATTCACTCTGTCGTACAGCAATTAGAAGATGAAGAAACGGACAATGGGACGCACTACATTCGGACTGTTACACTCCAGCTTGGACCCACCTGCGATTCTGGTGTTTCATCACTTGATTTTTGCCTTGATCAAAGGTAAGAACTGTAATATCTACTACTGCATTAATCACGTTATGTTTGGACAGAGGAAAAGTTTTATTGTGGCAAATCCTGTATGCATGTTTCCAGTCCGGTTAAAGTGGATGTTCTTTGAAGTTCAAATGATCTAACTACAGTACAGTACTTACTACTTGTTGCCAACTTTTTACTTTCTAAGTCATGATAATAATATATTATGTCATGTTATAGCTGATTTTAATGTTCCGGAATGTACTCCTTGCTAAGAGCAGTTCAGGGATAATTCAAACAGAAGAATACATTGTAAATAACATTAACTATTATTCTACACAACATAAAATGCGCGACAAAGTATTCAGTTCAATTCAAAATACTTTATTCAAGCAGAGTACTGTATGTAGTACCATAGTTTTGAATAAATAAAACTTTTTTAAAATGAGTATTAAGAACAAAGACTACCAGAGTGATTTTAATGTCAGCTAATTTAATTCTGTTTAATGTGGAAACCAAATATTAGTAACCTTCAGCGTTAATTTGTTTTTTTTTTTAAAAAACTAATGAAACAACATTTTTTATATGTATCTTTTGAATAACTTTCGGGAGCCATGAGAAAAACTGTAACTGTAATTTTGACTTTTTATGGGCACATTACTTTTCATGGTATAAAAGAAACTACTACTTGCAAGGAATTCTTGGAAACAGTATACAATCTTCTTAAATATTTTTGCCATGAAAAAAAGTCATTCCTTGGTTCAAAGAAAAAAAGAGATAAAAGCAGTTTAAATTTTAACAAAGATAAACATGATTTATAAGATTGATTACTTATTTGATATTTGACGCTTTATCCACAACGCTTGTGAACTCCCGATTCCTGTCTTTTCCAAAACTTATTTATCTGATCAAGTATTTGACTATCAAATGCTTGATTTAAAGTAAAAATAATTTCCACTACATTTTGACAAAGCAAACTAAACATCTTTCCAATGTAAAATGTAAATCTATGATGAAATTCAACATAGAATGCTAATCTATCCTGATAAATGTAAATTTTTGCGCAGAGAACTGAACTGACATTTTAAGCGAAGATTGTTTCTGTTAATATAAAACAGACAAAGGTTTGGTGAACGGTGTGTCGCTATGCTGTAGATGGACGCTCATGTCCAGTATGATGCGGATAGCAATAGCAGTGTCACGAACGGACGGGTTTCAAGGATGAAGGATTAAAAGTTGTTATTAGGTGATTCGTGATCCGTAGATTTTGAGACAGTACAGTATATTTTGATACCATAAACATAACATAAGGCTGAACATGTCAAAATAAAGTCGGAAATGTTCTCTACATCTGTTATGAAGGTACTATTTCAGGAACTGTACCTACTGTACCACGAAAAAACACTGAGTGGCAAGAATTATGCGCTAGCTGCCCCACTACACAGAATAATATATTGTATAACAATAAAACAACCATCGGGCACCCAGTGCAACTATGCTAGGACATTGTAAAGAGCATACAGGAAATCTACTTAAATGCAGTCCTAATTAATAGTGCTTATTTCTCTAAATGATTTTCTGGGGTAAAGAAATATCTGAAAGTGCTTTACAGATGTTGTTCCAAAATGCAAAAAAAATATATAAATATCAAGTTTAAACTAAAATAAATACTTTATTTATCAATTTAGGAATTAGGTGGTGAAAAAAAATGCAGGAAGCTCCCCATAGCTTGAGGTAATGCAACAAAAGCAAAAAGTAAGCTTGGGTCACAATGTTGGTCACTTTTTACAATACCTCATAAGCAAAATATACTGTATACAGTGTGAGAGTTTCACATTTACAATTAGCAGATATGTGTAACATGTGGTTGTTGCTTGTTAGATAGTTGATATCTGTAAAACTTTTGTTCCAAATATCTATTACAGTTGTCTAAAGGAATGATACAGTAGTTTTGTGCATTGGTTTGGCATTGGAGTTTTGTGCTCCTACAGTAGTATTGGGCCTAAATAATGAAATATTTTCTGTTCGGTTAATCATCCTGATGTCACATCATTTTCTTTCATTTGGATTGGTGGATTAGTATCATCTGTTTTATTTTTTTCATTGTATCTCTCAATTATGTTATTGAAAGAATATTTGAGCTATAGCATGTCAATTCGAAATGTTTAAGCTTTTTACGGCTCTTAAAACGTTTCTGATTGTTAGTACTTTGTCAATTTTGTATAGCTTTCTGGAAATACTCAGTGTTTTTGGGGTATATTAAATCAATTGAAAAGGATCAATTAAGCAAATTGCTAGTTTAATTGAAAGCTCAGCTGGAATCACAACCAGGAAAGACTATTGTTGCAGACACCAGGAGAAGCAATGACTTACAAATTGGATCTTATAGAAACTTCTTGTCACTCTATTTGTCCTAGCATTTATCGTCAAGAAGGGTGTATATGCTATTTTTATGTTGCTGTAGTGGGTATTGTTTCACTATTTTTCCGCCCCAAGCATCATGTGTACCTTTAACCAACAATATAATGATAAGGTGCAAGTACTGGCAAGCAATGAGACCTGACCCAAACTGCCTCAGGGACAGGCATAGCGAGCTGAAGAGTAATTGCTTGGGTGTATCTCACCATCACAACAGCTGTGAGTGAGAGAGGGAGGCTGTGCCTAAGCTGGAGGTCTTAGGCATATTGATGGTTCCCGTCAATAGTATGGATAGCGCTTCATTTGATACAACAGTGGTTCCGGCTTTTTTAAAGTCCACGTGATTCAGCACCCCAGACAGCTCCCTGGAGCATATTACTCAAACACAATCCCCGACCATCACTCCAGTTTGTGCTGAGTAACCAAGAACTCCCCAAAGAGTACCAGGACGTTGCCACATAAGGTAAAATATCAGTACCTTTGAAAGGGGAAATGGTCAAATTTATAGGAGAAAACATACAGTATATATATATATTATATCTTTATATTTTTAATTCTGTTTTAGCAAACAAAAGATTATGGTGAGGTTGTGTTAGTAAAACAGAAGCTGTGAAGAATGTCAACTGTTAGACAGTCTTTTTCTCTCGCAGTTCACCTGCCCCATTGCCTGTTGGCTTTTCAACTGTATTGGAATTAATTAAAAACTGGCAAGCAGATAGCATTATTCACAGATCAGTACATTCCACACAATGTGAACGGAATGTATTTTAGAAGGGAGGTAACATTTGGACTTGAACCCAGGAAGAGGAGTACTTTTCGAAACTTTGTAACCCTTTGTAAGTCTGTCTACAAGCATCAGACTTCATGTGAATAGTGCCTTATATTATGAAAGCTAAAACTAAAATAAGGAACATTCTAAAACTAACCACTACTACATATACAGTACAATTTCTAGATGTGGGCACATCATGCAATGTATTAAACTACTATATTAATGATGTCGGTGTTGTTGGTATCTTTTCAATTGCTGTGCTCCCTAACTTTAAACCTAAACCTTTCCCTAACTGTAACTTCCACACCATCATCCTAAAACAAGTTACTGTATACCTTTAAATGGTAGCCAGGTAAGTAGAATTGGCTCCTATGCTATCAACAACATATTGACGTTAATAACACACAAACAGAAGCGTTAAAGGATGTGGATTACGTTCTGGCTCTTCTCCATTTACACTTGAACTTTTTGCAAGTAAGCTATATTGCTGGAATATGCATAGCTACTGTAATTATAGTTTTCTATAGAAACAGTCTTACACCAGTGTTAAAGGGTACTGAAATAATTTTTCCTGCTTTTGTAATTTTCTTTCTGATTGTGCCTTGGTCAAATGTTAAACTTTTGAAACAGACAGGACCTTTCATCAGATTCTTAACTTTTACTTAGGACAAGTGGCAGGTTTGGTTGAAGGTGGCCACTTAATATTCTTGCATTACATATATTGGCTGTTTATACAAGGTGTTTTACACTATCTTGTTTAGCAGAGTAGTTTTTCTAAGTTAACACGTATTGTAAAATATTGGAGAGCTTGAGATAATTTTGTCTTGTGACATTATCGCACTTCATTCTGGATCACAGGTACTGTATGATAAAGGTTTAAGTTTGAAATAGCAGAAAACCTTGTTTAGAGTTTCACAATCTCATTGAAACTGAAGATAAGCTACTTGAAAGGTTGTGTGTGCCCAATGGTGGTCATTCTTCAAAGATATAGCTATCTGTTGATATCTGTTGATCTGTGATAGATCAAAATTAAACAAAATGAATATCATTATAACATTTGTTTGCTTTAATTCGGTCACAGTTTAAACAGGTCTGACTGTGATTAGAATACAGTTCTCATTTTTTGAGTTTGCAAATATCTCTTTTGTTGTTGCTGTTTAATCCTTTTTCCTCCTTGGAAAGGCCTGAAACTGTATACAGGGTATGTATGTGTTAAAAGCTGAAAAATGTCTACTAGTGCCACAACTTGCAAAAACACTTCATCCCCAGTTAATGAATCACTTTTTTGTGGTTAGTGAATTTGTGTATACAGTAGAGACATTCTTCATATAACATAAATCTTGTTTGTATCCAAAGTAAGGGTGCCAATGGTTGCCTAATCTGAACATTAGCTTCCCTTTTATTCATTTTTTTATGTACTAGCATATAACTTCTCATGACTAGCATAATAATATGGGGAAGTTAATAATGATAATATTTTCAGTTATGTGCTTGAAAATGTCTGATTTACTTTGAGCAATTACTGTAAGATCCACAAATCTTGGCATCCCATCCAGGGCGTACCCTGCCTTCCACTCATTGCTTGCTGGGATAGGCCCCAACTTCGCCAAGTCCCTGAATTGAATGAAGTGTTTAGAAAATGGATGGATGAATCCCCAAATGTATTACTCAAAATCATTGTATGTTACTGTAAAAGGACATTTGTGCTATTTCAATACAAAATTCTTCATGAATACTTTAAGGAAAGCTTTATTATTTGGATTAATTCAGTTGTTCTACCTTAAAAGGGAACAAGCGGAAACTGTAGAGAGGGGTCTGAAAATGAGAGCTAAGCTACAAATATGCATCGAAACTCCCAGCCCTGTTCCATTTTTTATCCTTTCCATTTTTTTCATGGAAGTAATTCTTGTATGCCCTGGTCGTTGATGCTGAAATGGGATGGTATTCTTTTGGTGGACATGATTCCTCATTGTGCTTCTGCACCACATTGTTTTCCTTGTTTTTCCAACTTTCTTAAAGATTGGCAGTTTGAAACATTGGCAAAACATCGATTAAAGTAATTTGCCATTTGCTTACGAGCTTGCAGTTGATTAGTCAAGGATTATAACTTTCATATGAAAAAAAGCATAGTAGGCCAAATAACATAGCATTCGTGATGGAATGATACTTTTATTACTTGTTTAGCCTAGCAAACAAGAGTAAGGGACTGCTTTTAAATGAGAAAATTACACTCTGATAGTTGTATCAGGTCCTGACTTCATTTATGACTAAAACACCAGGTTTTTGTCCACCTTCAGTTATTGAACTGGGAGTGGGGAACGTGAGAGCTCTGATAATGTTCTCACAAGGCACAAAGTAGAATACACTAGCTTGAGCACTGATGTGGGCTGAGCAGCATGTAAATTCCCTTCTGCAGCATTAAATTGAAAATCACAAGGATACTATGACAGCTAGATCTTTTCCAGATACAGGGAAAGTGACCTGTGATGCGGAAGCATAGCATGTAGGGATTACTCATTTTACATCAGTTGTATTTTTACCCCAGATTAAAGGAGTGTGAGAAAATAAGAGGGTGGATGAGCCTGTTCTGTTCACCATTGTAGACTGTGTCTTGATGGTTTTACCATGATGTGAAACAAAAGGTTGAAGGGTGACTAGACTCTAGGGACACCCCTGCAGAGAAAACGATTGGTCTCTTCTCTTTCCTTGGCTGGCATCCTGGAAACCAAGCGACAAGACCTAAAAAGTTACTAGAAAGGGACCTAGTTGAGCTTTATTGTATGCTGACTTGACAATTTTTTGTTGATTTTGTTTTTTGCTCCTAACTCAGCAGGTGCATGTCACTGAACTTAGAAGTACAAATGATGGTAACTCTGCATTATATTTACATTTATAATCCCTATTGAGGGATTTAAAGCACAAATTTGCAAATTTCTCCAGAGTTCAGAATAACTTCAAATAACCTTTGTGCTTTTGTGCTTCCTGCCTGCACGTTTTTGGAGTAGTGTATTTTCTCAGTCTGCATTTCAAGCTTCCCCTAAGTCTTAAGTTTACCCACAAAAGGAAGGTTGTCACATCATTGTCTTGAAGGGCTGGTGTTTGCAGAATTTCATTCTACTTACTGGTTTAACTGGAATAGTTTAACACCTTCTCCCAGCTCTTCAAGGACTGCAGCTTTAAAGAGCATACAGGCTGGCTCTCTAGAATCAGCATTAGACAGCCCCACACTTTGCTTTGTTAAAAAATATAACATCTGAAAAGAAGTGAAAAATAAGACAATTATTCTGAAGAGTCTAATTTAACCTTATTGGTTCTGAATTAAAAATGTAGAAATCTTTCAGTTTTAAATTAATGTTTTTGAAAAAAAACAGTGTTTTAATGATATCATTAGAAAGGAGAAAAACATGCAGCGCCCCTTTCCAGACAATGAGCAATCTGGCTAAGCCAAATGTCCAGACTTCCTAGTGTGAATTCAGTGCTATATACTGACATCGCCTTCTCTTACAGTCTTAAATCTTAAAATCTTGACAGTGTTAAAATATATACTGTATACTTTACATTAAGCCTTGTTTCTTTTAGAGTTTATTTTTTAATGAGCACAGAAATCCAGTAAACATTATTAAATACTCTCCGTTTAAATGTCACTGTTTTGCTTTGTGGATTCTCAGTTGAGTCAAGGAAAAAGGGATTCTTTCCTTTTAAATTATATGTTTTTTTTAAATCAGCAGCATCATGTCTCAACTTGTCTTTCTTAATCTTCGGTATGTCTGCTGTTGACACACTACTTTGGATGTTAGAAGTGAGAGAATCAATTACCATTCTGTTTTTAAAGCATGACTTTAAATTTCTTTGATGTCTGTTTTTTAAGCATTATCAACAGATCTACTAACTTAGTACATATTTAATTAGAATCACTGTATACTCTGTACTGTATGTATGTGTACTGTATGTGGCAATGCGGTATGCTTCTCATATATATGAAATTAGGGCACTGAGGAACAGGTTAATTAATCACTGGAGATCACTGACTTCCACATAACTCGATTCCTGCACCTGTGCATGTTGAGTAATATGCATAAATCAGGTTCTAAGACAGCCTTTACTATAGTTAACCTTCAAGATGTTCCTCAGCTAGGAGAGATCTCATCCTGGCAATCTTTGCTATGAGAAAAAATTAAAAACAAAAGGTTTTCCTGACAGGATGTACTCTTCATTAGAGGTTGAAAGTTTTCAGTAATCAGTGTCAACCACACAGTTAGATTTTGAGTCATGTCAGTATCTTACAGTGACAGGAAATTCTACAAGCAGTGGCAGAGCCCAATTAAAGTGGGATTGGGATTATTCAAACAGGGCCCTCTCAACTCTTAGCAAAGAAGGGGCTCGTATGACTTCACTTCCTGCTGTCTTGCAGTGATATCACTGTGGCTTGTGAAACCCAGTCCTCCAGTTGCAGCTAACTCTCCTGTATGATGCTGTGGAGCTAGGCTGTTTCAGTGCAGTGCAGTGGGTGGTGCAGGTTAGAGAGCCTTGTCTGCCTATCCTCATTTCCATTTGGCAGTACAGACATTGAGACATAAAGAAACCAGAGGCAGTTCAGTGTGTATAAAATGCTACTGTCACGATCTGGCAGCTTTGTTCTTGGTAGTTTTGTATGTAAAAAAAAAGATAACTAATAAAATAAAAGTTAAAAAAAACTAACAAAGATGTGTAGAGAATAGGCAGGGGAAAGTATACTGTATATACAGTGGAAAGAGATCCAGTCACACAGAGTCAACAAATCTTGGTTTCAGTTTGAGCCCTAACAAACACACTAAACCACTATTCATCCAGAACTATTTTTCCAGCTCACATGATGTTTGCCGTAATCCAAATCCATGTTAATCACATTTCAGGATGTACTGCAATGTTCTAACCTGGTACAGGATGGATATAAGCATCTGATTATGTATAAACAACATAAATTCATTCTTCAAGTGTATCATAAATTACAAAGCCTTTTTAAGCAAATAACATTCTGCCACATTTTGATGTATGAAATTTCACAATATTTTTCCTTACAATTTTATACGGAATGTAATACTAAAGGTGATTAAGATGATTATAACATGATATTTAATGGTAAAGGACATCATTTTTATACTGTATTAATAGATATGTTACTGTTAGCTTAATGGTTAGGTTATAGCTTTTACTGCAACTAAATACATTAAATTCTTCTGTAACTTTAACACGTAAGGACAAAGTAAAAACGTTTATCCCACTTCCCCCTTAATTTGTCATGTCCCATATCACTTTTTCACTTTACTGTGCTCTGCTGCTCAGTTTTCATTGGGTTATACAGTAACAGAAATGTTACTCTTTAACTTACATAACATGCCTAATCCTGCAGTTGTTTGTTTGGCTCCTAAGTGTGATAAAGTGCATGAACACTGCTAAATATAAACAATAACTGAGAGCTGGGGCACAGGCATTGAAATATATCTTTTAAGTGGCCTCAGGTGATTTTTCAGAAATGCCATCTGTGTACACTATATAGCCTAATACTCTGATGAATTGTTAGAAATGTTTGCTCAGTGAGCCCTGATTAGAGAATGCTGTAGCTATGTTCTAAATATTTTTTTCCATCATGTCATTTCCGTATTGTTAGAGACAGTGCAATCAGATTTATAGCACTGTGTAGTTGAAAACAGCTTTTTTTAAGGGCAAGATTCTGTGTTCCAGGATACAATAAAATGATATCTGATGCTTATAAAATTATCCAGTGAGAAATAAAAACTCAAATAAATGCCCCCAAAAACCTTTGGATGCAATTTAATGACTTCAAGTAATTATTTAGCTTTTTGCCAGTTTTGTGATACATGAGGTATGTTAAAATTCTGGCACTGGCATTGAGTAAATTTCCAGTTGATCTTTCCCAAGAGGGATTTTATTGTCTATCTGCAGATGACTGGTGCTATTTAGAAGTCATTAAAAAGAAAGTATTTATTGTTCATCTATGAGGGTCATATTATTCTTGAATCGCATTGCGTTTGAATGTTTTTCCCATCTTCGGTGATGGTTTAAGCCCCTGAATAACAAAAGGCTCCTGGAGGAACTATTCACATTTTTTTCTGAACACAGAAATTCCACAGGTGACTTTAAAAAAAAAAAAACGATTCAAAGTATGTTCACGTTGAACCAGAAGTATTTGTCTTGTGAAATTTTCAAAGGGTTCTTGTAAAGATGACTATTTCAATGAGTCGCTTTCAATTATGTTCCTCATTTGGCTTAGGTCCAACCTGTGATGGTTCTGCTTCCAAACGAGCTATCTTCTCTGAGCAAGTGTTTGGCTCAGGCATGTGCTTGGTAGTACACTATCAATCAACAGAGTTTGAATTATAAATGTCATTATTTGGGCAACAGCATCTTCCTTCAAGTCTCTTCTTCACCATCTCCATTTTATTCATCTTTACTCTTAATTTGATAACTGTGTTTTTAGAAATGGGTGCACTGCTTCATGTGGAACTACTATCTTAACTACACTTTTCTTCTTCCAGTAGCTACAATGGTGGCAAGCAGCCCAGTCATTGCTGACTGTCCCATTGGCCATTTTCCCTGTGGAAATCTAACAGATTGTTTGCCTCAGAAGTTGCACTGCAATGGCATTAAAGAGTGTGAAAATGGTGCCGATGAAGAGAACTGTGGTAAGGGAAGACAGCTTTCATTAAATGCACCACACAATCAATTCTTAGGGGTTCAGGGTAATACCAAGAGAAGGATGGGTTTATCTAAGAAGATTATGGGCTGGTAAGAGCACATGGTATAGGATAAATGCATCCTTGACATAACAGATTGTACATTTTCCTTTCATGAGAGAATACAACTGTATTTTTGTGTCTTTAGAGGGAGTTATATTTTTGATTTAAGAATAAGGTAATGTGTGTTAATCTATAAGTAGATATACATGACTGAGTCACATTATCAGGACTAAAAGGCTATTTTGGGGTGTTTTACAAAAAGCAGATGGTATTCAGTGTCAGGTTCCAAGGTGTAAGAATTTCATTAGAAGTGCAAAGCTCTGATGGAGAAAGAGTCTGGGCATCCTACTCAGCACCCTGCTGTGACCAGGCTAGTCACCTGGCACTTGGCACAATCCCCAGTGAGCATGTGTGGGCTATCATGATTAATCACTGCAAAATGTGTTATGGTAAACCCAGTTTCTGGGACACCCTTGTACAGATGTTATACCATTTCTAGGATATGACCCCAGAGACCAAGATTGTTGTTTCTGTTAGTGCAATGTGTTTTTCTTGCACAACGCAAATGACAGCTCCTCATAGTATTAACCCTATTCATGCTTCCCAGTTCTCATTCTTGTTCTTCAACAAACAGTTGTTTTATGCAATACTTTATTTTTTAAATAGCTTTACAGGTTAACCTGAACAGTTTCTCCTGAGCCATCTTAATAACTGTCGTAGATTCAAGCCATTTCCCTACATTTAAAGACTTGTTTGTCACAAAATGTGACTTCCTGCACTCCTCTGATCTTATTGTGAAATTCTTTCATCCATAACTGTGATTAAAAATATCCACTGTATTGGGGCATCCTAAGAACGTGTTTATAAAAAATGTCAGATCCTTATATTTTTCAGAACAGCTTTCTTGAGTTAAATATCACAAGTAAAATCCATACTGTGAAATGTTCTGTTGTCTCTCTGCAGGAGATAACAGTGGGTGGGCTGACCTTTTTGACCGTACTGTCGGAACGTTACATCAGCAAAGCCAACCCAAGCACTGCTGTAAGTGGACGGGAATTCAAGTATCTTTGTTGGTTTGTGTTAGGACGAACGTTTAGATTACATGCGAAGATACAGTACAGGAGTGACACCTTCCAATCATTAACTTCTCTAATGTACAGTATACCTTTAGTACAGTGCCTTGCGAAAGTATTC